GCTCTTCCTTAAATCGCAGGAGGACAGGAGTAAGGTGAGCAGAGGTTTCTAGGCCAGTCTCTAACTTCTAAGCTGAGAGCTGCTCTTACCTAACGTCGGGCTCCAAGCTAAAACTACATGTGGAGCCGTGGGACTGCAGGCACACCACCGACACTGGCCCTTTCTGCAGGAAACCCCTATTCGCCCTGAGAAATCAGTCACATTTGGGGCCAGCAGGTGGTATAGTGGTTGGCGCCCTGGACTCTCAGATGGCTGAACACAGTTCTAGTCCCCGACCTGGCAGTTTGCTTTCTCTCTGATGAACACATGTGCCCTCTTGCAAATTAAAATAATAAGTCAATTCTTTAAAGAAAAATCAGTCACATGAAAGTCCAGCTGCCAGCATGTTTATAAACCATTCTGCAAAGAAGCAGACCTAACTGCAGGTGAGCTCTGGACAGCCCGATTCTATCCTCAAAACATTTCTCTTAATGAGCTCCATACTTACATACTGATCTGACGTGGATACTTTAATACCGTACTTCGACACTCCCATGATCAACTCTTCCTCCAGAGGAACGAAAGGCAGCTTTCCATCTTGCTTCAAGATAAAGTAAGCGACATGTTCCACATTAAAATTAGGTCCTGTCTTTTTTTAAAGAGATTTTTGCTAGGGCATGTGCACTCACCAGAGACAAGAGACAGAAAGCAAGAAATCACCCCCTGGGGGGAGACCATGCTGCAATCCCTTAATTCCTAAAATCGGGGGGCACGCACGCACAGGCACCTGGCATGAGTTTCAAGTTTCCAGGTCTGGGACTTAAACTGTGGTTGACCATGTAGGAGTCCAGCGATGTAACCATTACACCATCTGCTGCTCCCAAGGTCCCAATCTTAAGCCTATCTAATCACATTTCATATCTAGCCATCACAAACCCAAACCCTTTAAAGAATAAGGAGTACACAGTAGCCCAGCAAGAATTTTTCCCCAAAGAAGCATAAGGAAAATTTTCTTTCTTTCTTTTTTTTTGGGGGGGGTGTCCACAAATCTGAGCAAAATTCAAATCCATCTATGGTCATTGGGAAAGTCCTGATGCATTTTTGCAGAGAAAAACAGAAAGACACTCGGAGACTTTCCTGATGACCTGCTGCTTCATGTACACTGCTGTCTGTGTGTCTGGGTGGTAACCGTGATTACAGACTGAGACGCTTCTCGCAGACCTTAGTGAGCTTCGAGATTTACATTAGGAAAATTAAGGTCTTTCTTTCCATTTTAAAATACTCAAAGCTTGGGCCAGCCAGTGGTGTGGTGGCTAAGGTAGCTGGATCCCACATAGCTGACTGTGGTTCAAGTCCTAAACCCAGTGGTCTGAAAAATATGGGTACATATGCATGCGTGTCCAAAATCCCAAGAGCAAAATGGAGAAGGGATTGCAGTGTGGCCATCCTGTTCCTGGGGTGATTTCTCATTTCACCTCTTTCTGTCTCTGGTGAGTGTACAAGCCCTATAACAAATTAAAAAAAAAAAATAGTCAAGAGTTTATCCCAGTGTTAGCACGTGAAGTGAGCAGAAAGCAGGGCCGCAGGAACCACTCTGTCATGAGCACTCCTACCCAGGCGTAAGACATCAGGTCTTCCCGTGCCCAGGGCTGGCGAAGGTTCGTTCACTTCCACCACAGGCAAGGGGATAGACCTTATCCTATGTTATGCACTAATTTTATACCTGCATCTTAATTTTCATTTTAAATTTTCCTTCATGATGATTTCATTCATCTTGACCTGAATACATTTTTAAAATCAATCTCACCTCAATTCTTATTGGTATGAATACCTGTGTTGGGTCACTGCTATGAATTATTCCTCAGAGACGAAACTACAATAGTTCACTGGGGATATGGTGGAGTGTAGCCAGTCGCCACAATCCTTTCGACAAGGTCCGTCCACCCCATACAGTGTGGAAAGGGCTATCTGAAGAAAGGACAGGGTCTCCATGCCAAGGCACCACGTGCCACCTAGAACCACAGCTCAGTAAACACGCATGACAGCGATGAACTCACGGCCTCCAGTAAGATGACAAGTGGACCGCCACCCAGTGGATGTGGTGGAAAAAAAGCTCTTTCTACATGGCAGGTGTTCACTCGAGAATCTCATAGCCAGAGGCTTTAAATTGAATTGGTTTTTCTCTTTCTCTCTCTTTTTTTTTTTTTTTTTTACCTGGGCGACATCGATATAATTAATCAGATCTAGTGGCCCTTCAAGACGTTTTCCCTCGGAGAGTTTCAGTTTCTCAATGGCACCAACGTATTTTATTCTAAATTCTGCACAGGTATCAGAATTGTTGCTTTGTCCTAAAAGAAAAAGGAAAATTATAATGGTAATACTTAAAGAGAAGTATTTTCATTAGAGATTATCCTCAGTCTTTTCCCAAATAAAAAACAGACTGTTGTTGGAACACAACCTTTAATTATAAATTTTTTAAATGCAGACTATTAATATTTCGTCAACTTTTTCCCTGGCGACTCACAATATACTAAATGAATAAAGGTCTCAATAATAGGAATAAGTTAATATAAATAACTTCACTTCAAAACAAATAAGGAGTGGGGCCAGCAGGTGGCATAGTGGTTAAGGTGCTGGGTTCCCACATGGCCAACTGCAGTTCGAGTCCCAGACCTGGAAGCCTTAGAATCAGGCCAGGTACATGTGCATGTGTGCCCAAAATCCCAGGAGGAGAATGGAGAAGGGATTGTAGCATGGTCATCCTCCCAGGGGTGATTTCTCACTGTCTCTCACTATCTTTGTCTCTCTCCTCTCCAGTGAGCACACGCACCCAATGGCAAAAACCTTAAAAATTGGAAAAAAGTCAACTAGATAATGACTGAGTACTTTGATAATAAATACTGATACTTCATCATTTTGGGGGGTTTTCTTCTTCCCTCTTCACCATGTTAGCTTTCTTTCCTGATTCGGGAAGTCCGTTCTTCCTCTACCATTCAGAAAAGCCCAGACAATTTTCTGTTAATGTAGATGGAATAGTGCTAGACAGAAAATCCCTTAAACTGTGTGTGTGCACATACTATCAACAAAAAGTCTGGCCGACACAAAACCGATCACGAACTATTTGTAATATCTACCATCTGAAGGAAATAGTATATCGTTGATTTTAGGTTATCAGGTTTATGTAGCAAAAAGATGCCCACTTTTTTTTTTTTTGGAGAGATTTTTGCTATAGGGCGCGTGCGCTCACCAGAAAGAGAGACAGAGAAATAGAAAGAGAGAAATCACCCCCCGGGGCGATGGGCACGCTGCAATCCCTTCTCCATTCTCCTCTCAGGATCCTGGGCACGCACGCACACGCGCCTGGTGTGAATTTAAGCCACCACGTCCAGGATTCGAACCGCGGTCGACCACATGGGAGTTCAGCAACAGCCATTATGCTAACTGCTGGTCCCAATGTCCACATTTTTTATTTTCTTTTTTATTGCAAGAGGAGGTTTACTTGTCAGAAAGAAAGCGAGGGAGAGGAGGAAGCACCCTCCGAGGGGCCTGGCCGGGCCACAGTCCCTTCTCCTCCACTTCTGCCTCCTGTCAGCGTTTTGGGCATGCACATACGTGTGCCCAGATGTGTTTTTCAGGCCATGATGTCTGGGACTCTGACCACAGGGTGAGCCTCGTCGGATTCAGCCGCCCTCACCACCAGGCCATGGAGCCCCCCCTAATATTTTTTAATATTCTAAAGGCATCTGGTAGTAAAGACAGTGGACTTTATGCTACAACATTCTCTTATGGGCCGACTGGCCTATGAACCTGAAAGGAAAAGCAGGATTTTAGATTAAAAATAGATGTAGCATCTTTCCAATGAGTCACTAGCTAGTTATGGAACTTGGTTTAGAAGCCACCTTGGGACTTCAAGGGTCTACTAATTCCAGTGTCTGCCGTATATACTGGCAAGGTCTGAGGCAGACAGACCCTTCATTCCCTGTGTCCTGGGGACAGGAACAGGTGTATCTCAGGGCACCGTGGAAGAAACTGCTCCTCTGTCCTTTAATTAACATGACATTTTTCTACTCCCCGTCAACCTAAGTGCACCCCGGTTTTCAAACACCTATTTTGAAGCTTCTAAGCCACTGCCATCTGGTATTTTCAGGCTCTAGGACCCATAAAGAGCAGTGTGCCCCATGCCTGAGCCCACCTCCGAGGCAAAGCTCTCCCCAGCCACATCACACCCTCACCCCAAGTAAGTCCCACCAAATTTAAACTTATCGAAAGTGGCAGAGGAGAGGGAGAAACTGCGAGAGAAACTGCAAACACGCAGGAATGGGCCACGCTGTGTCGGCCCGCGTGCGCTGTACAGGCAGGAGCAGACCTGATGTGGGACGCACCCTCACCTGACGTGGGACGCACCCTCACCTGACGTGGGACGCCCCTCACCTGAGCTCTTCGTGGAGTCTGTGTCGAGGCTTTTTTTATAGTGGAGCTCACAGGAAGCAGCAGGCCGGTCCCTCGGGTGCAGCAGCCGTGACAGTGTTCTGTAGCAAACCTCAAAGAACCACGATCCCAATGGCTCTTCCCCTGTGGGACCCGTGTGCTGTCAACATTCTCCATCTAAACCGACAGCCACCCACGGCCTCCACCTCCCGACAAGGCGCTGGACGTGTGCATCGCACGGCGGTTAGAAGGCTGCCCTTTACTTCCACACCATTTCCACTGAACCCACAGTGAGGCCTATGCAGAAGGCCAGGCAGGGAGCACTCCCCGTACTGGTAAGTGAGAAAAGACCCAGGACACTCAGTGAGTCGCCGAGGGTGAGCCCCTCAGACCCGCAGGATTATCCACGAGGCTCACCCGCGACACTAGGACTGGGGCTACCTGGCAGCCCAGAGCAAAGCCGTCCAGGAACTGCTCCCCCCTCTCCCTGAACCACCGTCCTTCCAGATGTCACCAAGATTCCTCTCCGCAGGCCTCGGATCAAATGCCATCCAGAAAATAAGACCTTTCCTAACCAGATCGAAACTGCCTCACTCCCGCCTCCGCTGCCCTCACCGGCAGTCTCCCCTTTCCGCCTTGTCACCGGGGCCTTCTGCTTTCACTCCTTTGCTGTTACTGTCCCCAATTACAACAGAACGCAAGCCCTGTGAGGCGAGGGGTCCCCTCCCCACTCCGACTACTCTACCCCCAACCTAAAACAGTGTTTGGCACAAAGCTGTGCTCACTGAGTATTTGCTGAATGAAAATGCCATCGTCCGACAGATGGGAAAGAATGACGTTCATCCAAGCACGGAGAAAAATGGTGTCCGAAATTCAGGGTTCTGAGAAAGACTGTAATTTGACAATCGCCTTTAAAACAGGTCGGAAACTTTTGTCAGTCAGAATGAAATCATCTTATCCCCTGAACAGGAGGCCAGATGAATCGATCTTCCAAAGTCTGCTCTGCATACATTAAATCCGCACAGGCTTCTGAACAACGTTCGGAAGGTCTCAGACTGCTACCCACCAACCACGCTGTGAAGCGCATGCAGTTACACACTCCACAGACCCCACAATCAAGAGGCCCAGCCCTGAAGGCCTGCAACTTCTATCACTTAGAAATTCATAGATCAGGGCTGGCAGGTGGTGTGGTTAAGGTGGACTCCCGCATGGCCATCCATGGTTCGAGTCTCACACCCACAGCTTGGTTTCTCTCTCTCTCTGTGTCTCTCTGTTGCTCTCTGGTCAAATAGAAGAATAAAATAATAAATAAAATTAAGTAATTATAAAAAAAAAAAAACACTCAGAGATCATGACCCATTTAGATTAATGAATTAAGAATCACAGAAAATCTACCCAACCAGGATAAGATGTATCTTTACTAGTGTAACAAATGAATGTTGAAACACACCTAGTTTGAAGACTAGGGAAAGTCTACCCCTGGTCAGTCCCCTTTAGGGGAGGTCTGCCCCTGGTCAGTCCCCCTAGGGGAGGTCTGGCCTCCTTATCTAGGGGAGGTCTGCCCGCCTTAGTCTCCTCTAGGGGAGGTCTGCCCTAGTCAGTTCCCCTAGGGGAGGTCTGGCCTCCTTAGTTTCCTCTAGGGGAGGTCTGCCCCTGGTCAGTCCCCTCTGGGGGAGATCTGCCCTGGTCAGTCCCCTCTGGGGGAGGTCTGCCCTGGGCCGTTCCCCCCGGGGGAGGTCTGCCCTGGTCAGTCCCCTCTGGGGG